AAAACTGTAAATAATTGCGTAAAACTTTAGTTAAGCAAAGTTTGGAGTTAAATAAAGAAGCAAAATTTTTAAAAAACGTGTATAATCCTGTAAAAAAAATTCAGAAATTTTTTCGATCGTGACGTCATCCCGCATCCTATTCCGCATAATTTGCCATTTTCTCCGCATAATCCGGAAAAAAATCTCGCATAATTTCAATTTTTTTCCCGCATCCTGTCAGAAGCCCTGTTTGTTTAAGTTGTATCAATATTATTCATGATTGTGTCTTCTAATGCACAACAAATAAACAAAGAAATGATAGTAACTCTATACTAGAGAATGATATATATATGGTCTTGAATGGTATAACAGTAGTTCAGGTCTATTCCTCATGATCTCACWCCCTTGTTTCAGCTTCTCTCAACATTGAATGACCTTATTAAAACACAGCACTAATGTAAAAAAGGGACACTAATTTGTGCTTTATGGAAGACTAGCTACAAGTACCAGGGTCTGAAAGGATATTCCCAGGAGGAAGGAATAAATAAATTATAGCACAGTGTCTGGGAAACTAGAAAAAAAATCTTGTTATTCGGGATGTTGGCAAGGGCCATGACTCGGAATTGCTGCAGAATTAAATATCCGSAATGTGGGATTTTGCTTTGTGATTTACAGGAAATACCATGAAAACATTAATAAATAAAAACAAAATCATGCTCTTTAAATATGTTGAATGTGGGCAAGATGTCATGGGCCACAGGATTTTGGGGGAAAATAGGGAGTGATTAGGGATCAGGACCCCCCTTACAGACCCTGAAGTACCAGTATGTTGAAGGAACTACACTCAATTAGAACATTACCTTTACTTAACATTTCCTTMAGGTCAACAATAATAGTGCCTATGATGTCCAATAACAACACTTACTGACAAGATGCATTCAAGGTAATCTTTGGTGCTTGTCTTTAAGCCACTCCAAAAATCAGAGTCAGTCAGTTGACCCTCTAGAACTAGTCTTATAATATTACAGGCTTCAATCTGCTGCTGCAGGCTGCCAGAGTGTTCTTTTTCTAGTGATTTTCTGTAATCCATGGGAAGTTCTTRTTGTATGTTATCAGTGATGAGAAGCTGCAAGAGGTCCTTCAAAGAAAAGAAAATCTTACACTAGCTATTAAAACGGGCAACAATTTCACATTAAAGAATAATATAATAATGCTGCAATACTAGTAGTACTACTTAATTTAAATTGTATATTGATGATGATAATGATGATGATTATGATTGCAGATTCTCATAATTATAATACTGTATCACTAAAAAAGATACACAATGATAATGAAAATAATTATAATTATAACAACAATGGACATTTTAGTGATTTTAATGATAGCAATATAATAATGAAAATGATAGCAAACATTCAAGATACATACAGTATAATAGCAAAAATAAAGGAAAGTAAAGATATATAATAGTGCAAGGGTTCAGGATTGTCATGACACCATTACTAACAACCTACTGAGATAAAATGAAAAAATAATTTATAAAGAAAAAAGATAATGGAGTCACGATGACCTTTGCTCTATTAAAGGTTAGTATTGATTGAACTAAAACTCAGTTTTAAATAAGAACAGAAAACAAAAAGAAAGATAGATGAAAATATAATCTCAAAAGTTCTAAAAAACTCATAAAAGGAAACAGTTATTGTGAACAATCCTGAACAATCCGCACCGTACGGTAAGGTGTCGGTAAGTTGTCAGGAAGGTGTCGGTGAGTGGTTGGTAAGTGGTTGGCCAACCGCTTACYGACACCTTATGGTATAGTATGGTGTGGATTGTTCACAATAGTCAAAAGAAACAATACTAAAAAGTAAAAAGTATAGTTTTGCTATGTGTGGAAACTCCAGTCTTGGCTTAACGCTGATACATGAAAATGAAATAAGAAAATTACCTAATACATAGYATATATATATACCTATAATATATTTGGAATCAAACACTCATGTACTATTAGTATAAGGTGCCAAATAAAATTGTATTGTATTGTATATTGTATTGTACTAACCACAGAGTACACCCCTCTCCCCCTAGCAGTATCATGCAGGGTAAAGTTATCAGAAACCTAATATACTGCTCAAACTCACCAGCAACAATATATAATAAGAGCCATGGCAGATTTTTCATTGAGTTCCTTGAGTGATACCAATCCATTCTTCACCTTTAATTAAAGACATTTAATTAACATTTGAATATCTCCAGGGTATGTATCGCTACAGCTTTGGCTTTTGACATGTACTATATACAGTACATACATGATATATCCAACACTACATGTAAGTCCTTTTCCAGCTAAAAATATCCTTGGATGCATCAAAGAGAACAAGGGAACTGGCAGTCTTAAGTGGTTGTTTCGATACCTCAAATGCATTCCTTCCATAAATTTGGTATCCTTCTGAAGGAGTTGGTCATGTATGACATGTTTAGATAAGTACTAAAGGGAGTGGTTTGTTGGGTTTCTCCATGTGTGCCGAACTGGGCTTGTAATGTATCCCTCCTCAATTCAAAAACCACTGTAATGTAATACCATAAGCTGCTAATTTTAAAAGTTTACAAGTTATCTATTAACTTTGATTTATACCCTTCACTGATAGAATACAACATTTTTTCACATGAATTACATGATCCCTACTTACATTTTGGTATAATGGTGTTTGAAGCTTTAATAGTTCATTGAAAAACAGGTTTTGCCAGTGCAATGACAAACTAGAAAAAARAAGCTCACACTCATATACTGTAATATATTGAGGCAAGGACAAGTATGTCAATTAATGCATTTAAGAATGAGTGGGTAGGTGGTGATCGTTGGATGGATTAATCACTGGATAGAAGAAGGATGCCAATAAATATCATTGGGATAAACAGTAATAGCTTTATTTAACGCTAATTGGGCTTTGAACAACTGGGCCCTGCTATATTACAGCGCCTTTCATAATCACCAAATTTGGTGCCAGCCCAAAACATGGATTTTGGCTTCTGTCAATCAAACTCATGGAAACAAAYGAATGAAATCTAAGCGGATAGAACAAATACGAATACTTATGATCTATATCTATAGCTAAACCAGAGCTAACCAGCAAAAAGGGGAAGCACAGTCTGTAGTTTTCAAGTCTTGTGGTGATTTCATCAGCTTTTTGAGGCTGTAAAAAGAGAAAAATGCTATAGTTCAGATTCAAATGCTGCATTTTTTACAACTTGCCAAAACATAACAGCACATATCTATAGAACTCAACATTTAAATAGTTATTAAATTTAAAAAACCTACCTCCACTGAATAATACTGCTTGCTTGAATACAACTTGAACCTTCATTTTTAATTCTTGTCAATATACCCAGGGTTTTTTCGTTTGATGTCTTCGATTTTACTTCAGCAGAGGCATTATTTTGAGTAAACATATTTGCTCTCATCTCAAAAACTTGTCATGAGATCTTTTGTTTTAAGAGCTTTGAAGGCTATTTTATCTTCTAACAAATAGTTTTTTCTTCATTACAAATCAACCAAGGAAGGTTTCTTTGCAAAAATGAGCGAAAAAACTTTTGATTTCCTGCCTTTTTGCTTTCTAATGCCAAMAGCCAATCAATGATCGTGTTTCGTCATGTGACCAAGAAAAATCTGCTGACTAATGAAGCGAACAGCATATTCAAAATGGTGGTGAGGGTTGTGGTTGTTTTTTCTCGCAAAAGAAGGGGAAAAATCAAAAAGTCAGCCAAAACAAGGTATTAATTTAATTTTATAGTTAAGCTTTCAATGTGTTATGTCCATTTTCTAAAATTTAAAAAATTATCAACGCTTTATCAGAATGAAACTTACTAGTAAAAGTTTTAAAAGTTTTTCTTTCAAAAGTTTTTTTTCGACACTGAAGCAGCAAGACATCAGCTAAGCACATTATTATTAAAAATAATAATAAAGCAAATACAACATGTTTGAGCATTAGATTTCACTTGGAGGATTTCAGGAACAGGAGAATAAGTTTCTGGCAGACAGCACCATCTGATAAATGTCATGCATTCTTCRGTTAATTTATTCAATTTTATAAAAATGTATTRTCATTATTGCTAATAAATGTTTTAGCTTGTAGTTGTGATCAATTGCAAACCCGGAAATTATTGGGATATATAAGCGGTATTGTTGGAATTGAAGCAACCCACCCCATATCTGCAGAGTGTTAGTACACCTGTAAGTTTTAAAAAGTCAAAATTGCATTTAAATTATATATTCCATTTAATGTTCACTTCAGTCCATCATGAAATATTAACACTGGGTAGAGACAACAAAGTCTTTATCCTCTTTTAGTAGCATCAGCCAAAATTTCCATTCCAAAAATCAACTTTTAAATTCCAATTGGAATTCAGTGGATGAAGAGCCACWCTGTGGAAAATGCTACTGTTATCCTTAAGTAGGATTGTAAGCAGGATCGTGCATCCTATGTGAGATCTTTTAAGGATTTTTTATAAAGTAACTTTTATAATGTCAAGTTAAATTTACTGTAGCTGTTCATTAGTGTCATAAG